CTGGATAACGGTATATGGACGCAAATTTATCTAATTTTCTATGGGGTATATGATCACATGTTTGTGAGGAGAGTTTAGCGTTGTGTAACCTAGCGCAAAGCCTGCTGAAGCCATAATGTGCAACATGAAGCGACAATGTAGAATGATGCCTCAATCACATGACTGACGCATTACGGAAACTCATCATAACAACTGATTTTGATTACTTTTCTCAACATGCTAAATTTTACATTTGATTCTCTCATATTTCGATGCAAGGTCTACTACTCCAGTTAGATGTCTCCAGCTCTTCGACACAGATTTTTGCCTAGCCTAATTTATCTCCAGTCAACTTTGACATTGTCTATCCACCTCATTCCTGCTTTCCCGTTCTTGTCTATAAACTTCCAGCAATGTTGCCATTCTTGTGATGTGTTTAACGTCTTTGGCTTCCACAACTTTATCAGTGCATCTGCATTTCCTGCATCTTTTCATTCAAGCGTGGACCATGTCATTGCAGTCATAATTTAGCAGTATGATATCCAATTTCCACCGCAGCATTTTCTCTCCACGTCACAGTTTGCAGTTCTCACGCGTACTTGGCAAAATCATTGCCATACAGTACTCTTGGGCAATTTGCAGTGCAGTGCATATGGGGCTTATGTTGTGCAGGCATCTGCTTATCACACAGAACCTCTTCAAAGATTTCCATTTTATCGGGATTGCACTAACCTTGGCGGATAGCTCGTCCCAAAATCCTCCCAAAGTCACTTTTTAAAAAAAAAATTTGTCTTACTTATTGGCTGAGCGCATATCGTTCCCGAAGTTTGACTTCTCATTCCACATGTTCTGACTTCATTTTGTTAGGTTGCAAACATATTCTACTACTCTGATTGGGTTTTTTATATTGGTTTAATCATAAGCCTCAAGTCCTTTCTATGCCATAACAACCACAACATCTACATACAAAAGAGCCCTACATTAAGCTGTTGTTTGAGACATTCGCTCACTGCGTCCAAGACCGCGATGAAGAGGGAGTAAGAGCTCACCCCTGATGTAGGCAGCCTTATGCAAAATGACTTTGACGCCCCATCGCAGTTTGCGTTTAGCTCGTCGCTTCCATTCTTAAACATTGAATGTATTCCTATAACCATGTGCTTTCGCAGTGCCTACCATACATCATCACAGACATTAGGTGTGTCTTGTCAAAAGTTTTCTTCTTATCCAGAAAGGCCGCATGTCATTCGCTTTGTTTTTTCCTATCTTGATCCGTCACCATGCGTACAGTGTGGACGGCTTCAGCAGTACTGGTACCCTTACAAATGCGCTAATTGGCTGATAACTCTATGATCACTGAAATTCGCTTCTCTGATGCTGATGTTCAAAGTATCATTAGCGATTTGGCCGGTACAGTCCGATGAGTTACACTCTGAAGATCTTTAGCAGAGACTTGAAACACGACTTCGAGCGTTCATAGAGTTGTTATCCAATCAGTGCGGATTTGCAGTACCGGTGATGTCACACATACTGTACGGATAATGCTGAAGAAATATAGAGCAATACGAAGAAAGCTACATGCGGCTTTTCTGGATATGAGGATCGACAGGGTACCTCATGATGTTATATGGTGGGCACTGCGAAAGAACATGATTTCAGAAGAATCAATGAATAAAATGAGCACAACGCCGGGAGCGTGAAATCTGCGGCAGAGTAGTCAAAACCATTCCGCATAAAGACCGGCGTACATCAGGGATTAGTGCTCTCTCCTCTACTCTTTACCAGTCATAGACGCAGCGACAAAAAACTAAAGCGCCACCATGGTCTCTCCTGTATGCAGAGAATGCGGTGTTGATGGCAGAAAACAGAATAGACTTGAAGAAGAGGTACAGAGATGGAACGACCTATTAGAGTCGTACGGTTTGAAACTCAACACAAAGAAGACAGGGCATATGGAAGTGGGAGGTTATGCAAACCAGAAATCATGTACATCGAGGCAATCAAGAAGACGAGTACTTCTACGTCTAGAAGTTCGCATTTCGGCAAAGGAGGACTTCAAGTCCTTTGTGAAAAGCGAATGCCAGTGCAACTTAAGTCTTGAATATAACGTATCGTGATGGGTCCATTGGCAGTGAATGTTGAAAGTACACGAAATGAAGAACACTGTTTAGCCATGGAAGAAGGAATGTTGCGACAGGAATCACCTTGTTACATGTCGGTAATTACAGAGCCCGAGCTAGAATGAAAGTTGCCTCCATGGCAGAAGAAGCAGGATGCTATGGTACGGCATGTCACGAAGTGATGAGACTTACACAACAATGGCAATGTCTCTGGGGCTCCTTGGAATATGATCATGGGAAGGCCAAAGATGAGGTGCGTAAGATATGCCACTCTAGTAATCATCAAGTACAACATCTCACTGCGGCGAGAGCCAGCAACAAATGTACCTGCTCGAGAAAACAAGTTTTTTCCAGTGGCCCTTTAGACAATTGTTCTCACGGCATATGAAGCTAGAATGAGAAGAGAGAGAGAAGAGCCTGGCAGCTCGAAGACTC